TGGGGGCTGGAGCGGTGAGGTGGGGGGCGCCGATCATGCTTCCCCTCTGGCTCCGAAAGCTGGTACCCCACCCCGCCATGCCTTTGAAATTTTAGTTTATTCGAGGACACCTGCTGCCAGGTGGGACCTCCACCCTCTCCTCTTTCGGGGTGTGTCTTCGGACCATCCCAGAACAGAATGTTGGGGAGCCAGGCTCAGAAAAGCTCCCTAAGGGGACAGACTCATCGTGCCATAGATGTAGTCCCTGCCAGTACAGACAGGGTCCAGCCACTCGGGCTCAACGAATGCTTTTGGACCCAAGGAGCCCTTTCATATTTCTTATCTTGTGCGAGGCGCCAGTAGATCTGAGAAAGAAGGAATATTACGCTCACTCAATGTACGAAACACTGAGGATGTGTGGACTAGGGCTCGAAACCTAGGCTCGCGGTGCCAGCTCTTTCCTGCTCAGCGCACAAGGGCCCGGGCACCTCGCCTACCAGCCAAATCCTGAGCAGGCGGGCTTTCCGCTTTTCACAGTCTTCGAGCGAGGTTCGAGGATGTGTGGGTGCCCTGTCACCGGGTCGCAGCACACACCGCAGCCCTTGTGCTGCGGGATAAGGGCGCGACGCACCTCCGAGGTCCGGAGTGGCGAGCGCGTGCACAGGGGCGGTGCCAGGCCGAGGGGCGTGCCGGGGACGCACGCTCGAGGCGCGTGGCGGGGAGGGGCTGCGCGCTCCCCGCTCACCACGTGTGAGCCCGCGCGGGCACTGCGGGGTGTGTGCTCACCCCGGGGGAGGTCACCTTCACGGCGACCCGCACCAGGGCGAGGAGAGAAGGCGTTGAGGCCCGGCCCCTCGGAATCGGTTGCTGGAAGGGGTGGGAATTAGGGGCTCTAAAATGGCATTCTGCTGGGGCGCAGTGGGTGGGCACCGTCCGGGCGGAGGCAACTTGTCTCTGGCTGCAGACCTCACCCTCCACTCGGCGGGTTGGGGCTGAGAGCCCAGCCCGAGGGTGTGGGGCGTGGAGGAGGGGTTGCTACGCCGAAGCGGGGGGCGGGGTGATGCTCTGGGTGCCCTGGAGGAAAATTGGAGCATCGCGGGAGGGAGGGGGTGACTCTTAAAGGCACAGGACACTCCAAAGGAGCAGGGCCTGCTCTTACCAAATGCTTCCTTCGCCGACTTACTGGACGACGATGAAGTCATGCTATTCCCGAGTTTGAACATTCACAACGGCAGCCTGGCCGGTTCAGTGCTCGATGGAGTCAGAATTACTGTATTCATATCTTGGTACCTCCTTTGCTTATCTTAAAATGGGGGAAAAGCAGTTTCTCTCTCATAAGGTAGTTTTACAAATTAAGTGGGATAATGGATGTAAACACAAACACATTCCTGCCTGACCCCAAGTAAAGGTATCAAAGAGTGGTCATGGGGAAAAGGAAAGCTTTAAATTTTTTTCTAACACTTTTCCACTTTTCCCACTTAATATTAATTTTATTTTTAAATGACATGATGGATACGGCCATTTTAAATGCGCAGGGCTGCTCAAATGTCTTACTCTGGTCCTGTTGCTGCTGCTATTATTATTATTATCATCATCATTATTATTTTTTAAATATATTTTATTGATTTTTTACAGAGAGGAAGGGAGAGAGACAGCGAGTTAGAAACATCGATGAGAGAGAAACACCGATCAGCTGCCTCCTGCATATTTCCCACTGGGGATGTGCCCGCAGCCCAGGTACATGCCCTTGACCGGAATCGAACCTGGGACCTTTCAGTCCGCAAGCCGACGCTCTATCCACTGAGCCAAACCGGTTTCGGCCATCATCATTATTATTATAGTTTATAAGTGTACTGGCCTCCTGGATGTTCCTCAAAGACAGGAGGCTTGGGCCCACTGTATGGCCTTTGTACACACTGTCTCCTCTGCCCAGAACAATTTTCACTCCTATCCCCACATGGCTGGACCATCTCATTATAGCCTCGGTTTAAATAGGACTGTCCAGAGAGGCCTGCCCTCACCACTCTCTATGTGGTCTCCTTTCTCTTCTTACTTTTTTTTTTTTAAATATATTTTATTGATTTTCTTACAGAGCGGAAGGGAGAAGGATAGAGAGTTAGAAACATCTATGAGAGAGAAACATCAATCAGCTGCCTCCTGCACACCCCCCACTGGGGATGTGCCCGCAACCAAGGTACATGCCCTTGACCGGAATCGAACCCTGGACCCTTTGATTCGAATGCCGACGCTCTATCCACTGAGCCAAACCGGTCAGGGCTCTTCTTACTTTTTAAAATGTTTTTCTTACAAATATATTCTCTAGCTTTACCAAAGGATGCTCTATGCAATATTCTGGTATTTACTTTCACTCTCATCATTATAGTGCTAAAATCCATCTACATTATCACACCTGTGTGGGGTACATTCATTTTCCTGCTGTGGGATATACACAATTTTCCTATCCGTTCTCCTGTCCACAGACATTTGAATTATTGCCAGATTTTTGCTCTTAGGGAGAGTGTTACTGTTAACAATCCTGGTGCCCAAGGGCAGGAAGTTCTCCCACGTATATCATGGCAAGTATGGTTGCACATCTGAAGACATACACGATTGCTAACTTTTACAAGGTAATGCCACACTTCCAAGTTGTACCAGTTTACTTTCCACCAACAACATACAAGAAACCCCATTCATCCACATCCTGTCCCAAGTTTGGTAATATCAAGGGTCTTTTCTTTGGTTGCTTTCCTCCCTTTCGCCACCCTTCCTCTCTTCTTCATAACATCTACCACATCTGCAATTATGTTACTTGTTTACTTGTTTTTCGACTTCTCCTCTACACCGGAATGTCAGCTCCAAGTAGAGATGTTTGTCTTTGATTACTGCTTTATCCCTAGGAGATCCCCTGGCACACAGTAGGTGTTCAATACCTATTTATTGAATGGATCAAAGTCAGTGTCCTATGATGAGTGCACTCAAATTCCTGTGGAAGCCCAGAGAAGGAAGTACGATTTTGGAAAAGAAAACCCCAAACTGCAGTCTGCCACGGAAGTGTGGTTGTCCTTTCACACAGATTACCCCAAGTCCTTTCAAATGGGTGCCCAGAGTCTAAACCTTACAGGCCCCAGGAGCTCAAGGCTGGGCTCCCCACTGAGCTGTTCAGTCCAGACGGTAGTAGATAGATGATGAGGTTCTTGCCACCATCATCTCTCATCTGGGCACCTGCCCAGCCTCCTTTCTCGTCCCTGAACCTACCAGGTCTCCTCCCTGCAGCCAGAGTGATAGGACTTGTAGTCACAGATTTGATTCTGTCTCTTGCCTTCCTAACACCCTTCCATAGTGTCCCCATTGCTCTCAAGATAAACAACAGACGTACCTGGCCCACCAGGATAAGCTCGGTCTGACTTCTGCTCCCCCACTCTCTCTGTTTTGAGCTGGCTTCCATTCAGTGAGGCCACTGAGTCCCCACACAGGTGCTGTGAAATCCCTTCTCCCACCCTTTCCAGCATCTCCACCTCTGTCTGCCTCCTCATAGCTCTCCTAATTCCCTGTTCCTTTTCTTCAGTGCATGAGTGGCCTACCTAGCTTATTTGTCACTCGGAACAGATCATTTTCAAACACTCACCTCCTCTAAGTAACATTATTTTCAATAATAGTCATGAAATGCAATGAATAATACTAATAATAATCTCGAGAAAAGAAATGCAGACAGTGAAAATATTCTTTTATTGAACTTTATGTAATCATCAGTAAAAATAAATAGTATAATACAAAAGAGGAAAAGAGTGTTGAATCAATAATATGCTGTTCCATTAATATATTTCTTTGAAAAAATAAAAACATATCTATATAGCAGTTTGTTGCAATAATGACATTACATTAATCACATTACAGTTTAAAAACAAGAAAACAGCCCGGCCGGTGTGGCTCAGTTGGTTGAACCCAGGCTCCAAGAGGTCCAAGGTTTGACAGGGCACATGACCGGGTTTGTGGACTCTAATCCCCAGGGCAGGGCATGCAGGGAGCAGCCAATTGATTGATGTTTTTGATGTTTCTCTCTCTCCCTCTCCTTCTCTCTCTCTTAAAAAAAAAAAATTAAAAAGACATTTTAAAACAAGCAAGAAAATACTTTAAAAATAAGACTCAATTTCAATATTAAATATATTACTTATATCTAAAAATTTTACTAAATAATAAAATTTGCAGTTACCACACTTTGCAGTTTGTTCTGTTTTACTGTTTTATTTTTTAAATATGTTTTTTATTGATTTTGAGAGAGAGGAAGCACTTCATATTGCTTTGACCAAATGAAGAGATGAAAATCTCTAGAACCTAAAATTGTAAGGCTGTCTCCTGTACACCCCCCACTGGGG